AATGGTGTGTCCACAAAGGGCGCTTCAGTGCTGTGGAGTATAAAATTAGCCATCAGTAGTAAAAGCATAGCATAAAATGTCATTTTTTGAAAGTGAGGATGAGACGTAGCTTACCAGTTGGACTTCCACGAGTGGAGGATATTCTGATCTGAGATTTGAAATTCACTCGCTTTGTCAGCAAGAAATTCAAAAAGGTATTTGACGGCATAGAAGAAGCAGAATTTGTGCATTTGCGGGTTGAATAAAGCGTACATAAGTTCGTCCATTTGAGGCATTACGGAAAGCTGAAATGGGTCACAAAGAATAAAGCACTAGAGAGAATACAAGAATGTTAAAATGGATGCGAGAGCGAGACTGTCGTCTGCAGCTTGTTTAACTCCTTATACGAAATAGAAATATTCGCAAAAAATTTATATTAGTAAATGAGTTAAAAACTGTACCATATGTTTAAAGCTTAACTCAAGCGGAAGTCCTGTGTACACAAGTTGCTATTTTACAGGGAATTTTGGATCTGATTTACCAAGCTAACTTAAACACCTCAGCTTATGATATCATTTCTCCCACCATCTCTTATAATTTAAGTTATGGAAAGTTATATCAGAGGAAGTCATGTTTCACAAAAATGGTACACTCTTTATTATACAATTAGTTTGGCCTGCAAAAAGCTGTCACCTGGTGAAAGTGGCCTGATAGAGATGATGATGCCTCAAGGAAATAAAACATTTTTCAAGTAGTATTAATCAATTTCCTTTTATTTTTGATAAGCTTTATGGAATTAATCGAAAGTATGAATACCAAGATAGTGTGGTCTTTTTTGTGGTCGGAGTCTCCTTCCGTTGTATAGAAGTTGTTTGAACTTGTTTTCGTAACTTGATCATATTGGTAAGAAGACTTATAGGAACGCACCTTGTCCTGAGTCTATTGTATGCATAATTATTTCCAAAGTCGGACCATTGACGCGGTACCTTCCCAAATATTTCGCCGGCATCGATAGTGAGTCTCGCCATTCGTAGCACCATATAACAACTCGTCAAATGGACAAGTGAAGCCCATCACAAGAGTGAAGGGGGTGATATCGACTGTGTGGAGTGTGAAGGGTTTTCATGAATGCCGCTCGAAGGGGCTCACGACACTACATTAGGAATAAGCACGGTAAAAACTGTGACAGGGAAGGCAGGATAAAAAGATATAGGAAATGGGACTAGGCCAGGGCAGAAGGTGAGATACCATAAGTGTTTAGCACACGTTTGGCCAAAGGATGGGCTTTACTTGTCCATTTGACGAGTTGTAATATGGTGCTACGAATGGCGAGACTCACTGACGATGCCGGCGAAACGTTTGGGAATGTACCGCGTCCACGGTCTGACTTTGGAAATAATTATGCATACAATGGACTCAGGACAAGGTGCGTTCCTATAAGTCTTCCTAATAATATGACCAAGTTGCGAAAACAAGGTCAAACAACTTTTATAGGATTAAGCCTAATAGTTATCATTATGCCAAGCGAAGCAATATCAGCTTAAAAACTGAGTTAAAAATTCATCGGTAAAAGGGGCAAAAATACAAAAAAATTCAACATCGGGTTGGAACTAAATAATTTATCCTTGCAAAATTAAGCAGCATTCCAAAAATGCTCAAACTTACTCGGGTTTTTAGGAGACGATTAAAGAAAAATTCATTTGGAATGTTTTCGTTCGACTTCGATGATTCTATGGGACTTAAACTTTCGGCCAATGTATCTTCTGGCGACTTTGCATGCCTGAAGCCTAATCGGCTCCCTACATCATTGCGTTTCCGAGTGCTAAACACCTCAACAAGAGACCATCTGCGTACCAATCTAATTTTGCCATTATCATCATTTTTCATATCTAAGCCCCGGTATTTCCAGAACCGGGAGAACAAATTTGAACCTGTCTGTGAGGATTGCTTCTGTTTACCCTGCCTGTAGGTCTGCTGCTTAGTGCCTCCAGAGCTGACGACTCCTGTAGAACCTGGATAGTTAAGTTCACGAAACCCGCTAGAGATCTTCCTTGTACGCGGCGAAGTTCCAGGATGTTGAAACATGACCCTTGTGCATTCATACAAGCATTCGCATTGCTCCTGCTTCAGACTGGTACTAGACGAGTAGACAGGGCCTCCAGTCTTAGTCAACCGTTTAGTCTCTAAGTGGAACCAAGAGTCCGGGTCAGGTGGTACGGTAGCTTGGATGTTGAAGTACGTGGGCAAGCGATTATTTTTACAGATGCCCTGATTAGACTGAAAATTGTCGGGAGCGCGGTAAACATGAGCATCTATTACGGGAGTGTCGTGGACAAGATGGAAAAGAGAATTAGTAATAATGAAGAATAGATATTAAATCAAGATTATGTAATAAAAATGTAACCTTCAACGAATAGTATTTCATCTGAATCACGGTGCTGTCCACCCTTACCATTTGGAAAGGCAAAGTTTAAGCCCTTTATTAGTGCCTCCTCAGTAGAAATGTCCAATGAAATTTTTGACAGATTTGCCACTTTTTGGTAAAGGCTATTCTTACACTTCAATTCATTAGATATGAGCTTAATCTTATACGCAAATTTCTTAATTTATTATCATGTGCTTTCCTTAGCTATACTAAAATCTTATCATGTAAACTATCCGCTATACTCTGAAGTTTTAGAAGGTCATCCAAACTAAGAGCATCGGCCAAAATTTTCCTAAATCTAGTCGTAGTTCTGATTAAGGAATGTAACTTCGTAACGTTATCCTTTCTTCAGTAGTTCTTTCGTTTAGAGAATATTCAGGCCCTCTTTCTAGATTAGGCTGTTACAATATTTTAGGTTCATGTGGTAAGGTACATGTGGGGGAGATCTGCTAACACATTCACAAACGACTATGCGAACACAATACCGCCTGTAAAGGTCTGCTGGTCTACAAATCTGAGCTCGGTGAACACATGACCATTGCAGGACACTCAATAGACTGGTCCAAAACACAACGGTTTGCGGATTAAGAGGACTTCACGTCAAAGCGTAAGATTAGGGAATCTATAAATATTAACAATACAGCCAACGTCCTGAATAGAAGGAACGAGTGTAAAAAACTAAGTAAGAACTTTTTGTGGCTGTTGGATAGACGCAAGGAAAGGGAGATAGAGGAGGTACAGGAAGAGCCCCTGGGCAATAGAAGGAGACTGGATTAGGCTCATGTCTAGCTAGGACTATCATACTATTCATGACATGAGAATTACATACACACAATAGCTTAAGGTGTCTCAGAAGAGCTAAGTGCTGTTAACTTAAGAGTGCATATGCGAATGAAAGTTGGGTTTCGAGGAATCTCTTTTTTCATAAGTGTATAGCTTACTTCCATTTCGAATGAACGTATTTGGAGCATTGATTCGAAGGGCAATCCCACCAAAAACGACTATGAATTCCTTTTGATCAGTTATCGATTGGCTTTACTGATAAGATTGACTCCAAAACTGCTAGTTAGACATAGGGATGACTACTTTGCCATATGGTAGCCTGGTATGGATAGTTTAGATAATTTATTGTTTTTAATTAACCAGATTGATTGCAATATAAAGTTGATAATGGAGATAGAGGTCAAAAATACTTTATAGATGTCTTAGTGATCAGAGCAGGTAAGAAGTTAGGCTGTGATGTCTATAAAAAACCAGCACATGCTGGCTTTATACTTAACTTATTCTCGAATCATAGTTACAAGACAAACGTTAGAGTTTTAAAATCTATGATTATAGGGATCATAAGACTAGCCGATTCAGAGCATTGTGATAATTAATCGGATCGGCTAAAACTAATATTTTTTGAGAATAACTAACCTTTAGATTTGATTGAAAATAACATTAGATTAATAAGAATTCATTTTTGAATGGTAAATAGTTAAGAAGAGAAAAGGTGATCTTTTCCCACGTTTTGTCTTTGCCTTCGTGCATTCTATCTAAAAGGATAAGCGAACTGATAAGGAAGTTGGGAATAAAAACGGTTTTCAGTGAAACCACGATACTGTCTTCAGTTATGCCCACTTTTAGAGATAAAGTTGACCCATTATCAAGATCGGGTTGCTACAAGCTAATATGTTCATGGGGTCGCTTTCATGTCGGAGAGACTTGTCGTCCCACTTCACAAAGGGTGGTTGAGCACAAAAGTGCCTGCAGAGGCTGTTGGGTTCAAAAACCGGGGTGGGCTGAGCACAAGCCAGAAACCGGTCATGTGATTCAATTGTTTCAAACATCCCATTTTGCTAACAATGGTATGTCTGCGGCCATAAATAAAATTAGAGGCAATTGAAATAAACTGAATAGGGAATACATTAAATGCAAGAAATACTGGCCAGAAGTTAAATAAAAATTAATTATGTATAATTAATAAACTAAATGAAAGGGACGGCCTGAAAAAAAGAGCCGACCCAGCTAGTATTTTCTTGTTTTGGTTCTAATCATGGTGTTTTCTCTGTACTTTTAGCTCATTCTTTCTCTCTCATAAGAAAAAAACGCACACCAACATTACCAGACGTGTGTCCGACCTTATGCAATCGGATTGATTATTAAAATATATATAAAAAGGCGGTGATAGTGGTCATCAAACCTTGATAACAGAGAACAGACGCTACTTTTGCTGTTCTAATTACCTTGAGCCATCGCTGCTGGTTTCGTACATATGTGAACACATACATACAGACTCATGACTAGAACTAACTAAATCCCTTTATGCCTCATCAACAAGGTCAGATATAGAATACATATACAGCATTGTTGGCATGCGCCGGTGAGCTTTCTGAACTCACTAGCTTAACTATAGTTGCAAAGATGATATCCTGCTCGGATGATGTCCGTCATATGACAGACGAAAGCTTAGCATGTTTTCACCGGGATCGAAGGAGATTACCTCGGAAACAGCGTCAATAAGAATCTTCCAGTCTCTTCAACAAACACTTTTACTCGAAATGGAAGTAAACTTAACAATTAAGGGTAGATATCTTGCAAAACTGCAGAGCTTCATTAATTATTAGTATACTATTTAGAGAGTTTAGAAGGCAAGCAGAAAAAACATTCTCAACAGAGCTCATTAACATTGTGTTCCTTATAATATCATTCAAGAAGTAATTTCAAAACAAGATAAGCTATTCAACTTTCTGCACTATTAAATCTTAATAGAGGTGAGGTAGATGTAATGTAATCGAGTAGGATTGGCAGAATACCGTACTATATGGGAATGAAGAAACTCAAACTTAAAAATTTGTCACCTAAAGTCAATTAAGGTAAGTTAAGGACTGTTATCGCAACATGGTCATATTGGTAGGAAGACTCATTGGAACGCACCTAGTCCGGGGTCCATTGTCTGCATGA